TTCCAATCACTAGTGATAATCAACACATCTTGATTGCATGTTTGGTCAATTTCAGACTGCAGAAGTTGGTAGAAATCTTCAATTTCCTCATCTTTGGCTTTGGTGGTTGATGTATAGAGTTGAATAACAGTAGTCTGGTCTTCCTTGTAGGTGTATGGATATTATCCTTTCACTGACAGCATTGTACTTCATGATAGACCTTGAAACAGTCATTGTGACAGTGACTGCCACACCATTCTTCTTCATGTGTCATTCCCAGCATAGTAGATCACATGGTTGTCTGATTCAAAATGGCCAAAATGGGTCCATTTCAGCTCACTACTGCCTAGGATATTGATCTTTATCCTTTCCATTTCATTTTTTGACAACTTCCAAGTTTCCTAGATTCATACTTCGTGCATTCCATGTTCTGATTTTTAATAGATGTTTGCATCTGTTTCTACTCATTTTGAGTCATGCCACTTCAGCCAATGGAGGTCCCGAAAGCTTTACTCCATCCATATTGCCAAGGTCATCTCTATTGTGAGGAATTAGCTCTTTCCCAGTCATATTTTGAGTCCCTTCTGACCTGATGGGCTCATCTTCTGGCACTATATCAGACAACGTTAGGGCTATTCACAAAGATTTCCAGTAATATATCAGTGTTTCACTGCTATTCATAAAGTTTTCACTGGCCAATTGTTTGAGATGTGGATGGTCTCTTCCTTCTTCCGAGTCTGTCTTAGCCTGGAAGCTCCGCTGAAACCTGTCCATCATGGGTAACCCTGCTGGCATTTTGCAACACCAATGGCACAGCCTCCAGCCTCACAGCAACACGTAAGCCACCACAGAATGACAAACTGACAGACAAGTTCATTTCCCTTAGTTGTTCCTAACTCTGGCCTTAAAATAGAACTGCCCCCAAGCAAAGCAGCCCTGAGCCCTGCACCAGCCTACATTGGGCCCTGGCCTTAAAATAGATAGAACTGCCCCTAAGTGAAGCAGCCCCAAGCCCCGTGCCTGCCTACCTCGGGCCCTGGCCTTAGAATAGATAGAGCTACGCCTAAATGAAGGAGCCCCAAGCCTGGCACCTGCTTACCTCTGCCCCCAGTTTTAAAATAGATAAGTCCCTCCTGATAACACGACCAAAGTATGTGAGACAAGGTCTTGCCATCATTGTGTCTAATGAGCATTCTGGTTATACGTCCTCTGAGACAAATTTGTTTGTTCTTCTGGCACTCTGTGGTACATTCAATTTTCTTTGCCAACACCATAATTCAAAGGCATCAATTCTTCTTCAGTCTTCTTTATTCATTGTTCAACTTTTGGCTACATAGGAGATGATTGAAAATACCGTGGCTTGAGTCAGGCGTACCTTAGACCTCCAAGTGACATCTTTGCATTTTAACACTTTTAAAAGGTCTTTTGCAACAGATTGCCCAGTGCAGTATGTTGTTTGATTTGTTGACTGCTGCTTCCGTGGGCATTGGTTGTGAATGCAAGTAGAATGAAATCCATGACAACTTCAATCATTTCTCCATTTATCATGATGTTGCAATGTTGGTCCACTTGTGAGGATTTTCCATTTACATTGAAGTGTAATCCATAATAACTGGCCAGACTTCATCTCACCTACTTTGGTCATGTTGTCAGAAGGGACCATTCCCTGGAGAAGGATATCATGCTTGGTAAGTCGAGGGCCAGTGAAAAAGTGGAAGACCCTTAATGAGAGATAGATTGACACTGCAACAGATAGATTGGCTGCAACGATGGGCTCAGGTGTAGTAAGGATTGTCAGGCTGGTGCAGGACCGGACAGTGTTTCGTTCTATTGTACATGGGGTCACTGTGAGTCGGAGCTGACTCGATGGCACCTAACAACAATAGTCGGAGGGCTATTCAAATGATCTATTTTATATGGAATTAGTTGTTCTGATCTGTGTTTTCAAGGAATTGGTCCATTTCATCTGAGTTTCAGATTTTTATGTGTGGAATTTTTCCTGGTATCCCCTGATTTTTTGGGGAGGTGGCATTATCTGAAGGGCAGAATGTCCCCTGGTATGATATCCTCTGTTTCCTGTCTCATGTGGGTCTTTTGTGTCTTCTGTTTTTCCTTCATCATCTTGCTGGAGGTTCATCCATTTTTCCCAAAGAACCAGCTTTTTGTCTCATTGAGTTTATCCATAGTTTTTCTTTTCTCCATTTGGCCCCTGGGCCACAGTTTGCAGCCTCTGCTCTGGGGCATTCTGTCTCCATTGTCATTCCTCGCATATGAGGTTGAGGTTGACTCCTGAGCCCCAGGTCTGCACTTCAGCCCACAGGAAGGGAATGAGGAAGGGAAGTCACCCTTACTTAAGGGTTCACCTGGAAACGCTCTTGTGTCAAGTCAGTCCTGCCTGACGGAAGCCCCACTATGGAACTATGCTGCCCAGTCCTGAGCCATCTCCATGATGGGTTGGGATTGGACTGTGGTGATTTTCAGAAATGGATCACCTGGCCTTTCTTCCTGGTCTGTCTGAGTCCAGAAGCTCTGCTGAAACCTGTTCAGCATCCTGACAGCATGCAAACCTCCATGGACAGATGGTGGGGGCTGTGCACGAGGTGGATTGGCCTAGGTCCCCCGCGTGGCAGGCGAGAATTCTGCCACTGAGCCACACTGCCTTCATTCACCTGAGGACAGCTGATGACATCTAAGTTCTTTTCCCACAGGCCAGACTGAGTCATTATGCCAAGGGATCTGCAAAGTGTCCAGTTGAGTAGCTAAAACCTTGGACTTCTATTTCTTTCTATTTTCAATGTTTCTGCCGCCTTGTATTAGTTTCACTTTGTCTATTAGGTGTTTTGTCTTTTTCTTGCTGATTTTCACAAGTTTGTCACTTTCATTTATTAATCACATCAGCTTTAGACATCGTGAGTGTTTTCTTCCAGTGTATCGTGTATGTTTTATTTTACCTATAGTGAGTGTCCTTTGTTGTAAAGGAATGTAAAATTTTGACATAGTCAAAAGGAACAGAGGGAGAGTATATGTGGAATGTTATGGGCTATGTTTGCCTCACTCATTATATGAATGAACCAATAGAGTAATAAATGGAGGAATTGATCTATTAATGACTGGTGTTGACTCTCAAGGTCAGCTAAAAGATTGGAAGGTAAATGACAGCTTAATGACTGACTAGCCCATGATTGACAGGTGAATGGCTGACAGATGAGTGACTGGCAGGTGAAAGATGGACAGGTAAGTTGCTGACAAGCAAATGGCTGATGGGTGAATGAAGGATGAATGATTGAGAAGTGAATGGCTCATGGGTGAATGACTGACAGGTGGATGGCTGACAGGTGAATGGCTGATGTGTAATTGACTGACAGGTGAAAGATTGACAAGTGAATGGCTGGCGGGTGAATGACAAACCTTGGGCTGATGAATTGCCTAAAAGCTGACAGATAACCAACTGGCCAATGACTGTGAAGCTTTGGATGGAAAGGCACCTGCCTCTGTCTCCCCATCTGACACCTCCTCCCTATGTCCCTTGCCCCCAGTTCAGCAATGTCCCCTTCTTCATCTTTGGGCCTCTCATGATGTCCCTGATGCACCCCTATGCCCAGAAACGCTCTCTCTGGACCCACGGTGTCTGTGCCATCTTCATGGTCGTAGGTACGTGGGGGCCGTGATGGTGGGCGGTGGGGGCGGGGCAGGCGGCCCTCTGACTGCCGCCCTTGCTCTGCCGCAGGCCTGTTCTCCATGTACTTCCACATGACCCTCAGCTTCCTGGGCCAGCTGCTGGACGAGATCGCCATCCTGTGGCTGCTGGCAAGTGGCTACTGCATCTGGATGCCCTGCTGCTACTACCCTTCCTTCCTGAAGAAGAACAGGTGTGGCGGGGGCTTGCCGTCTGGGCAGGTGGGGCTGAGCACTCTGTTGACCATGCCAGAGTTTGCCTGGGAGTTCCAAGACCCCATGCCTGGGTTCACCTGGGCCCCAGAGTCCCCTTCCCTGACCATCTCAGGATTCTCCTGACCATACTAGAGCTCACCTGGGACTTCTCCCTGAGTGTCATTGGGACCCCTGGACTTCTCTGGGCCCACCTGAGTAGCCTGGAACCTTGTCTCAACTGAGCCCATGTGGGAGGGAGTCTGGGGACCCCACATCTAAGTTCACTTGAGCCACAGGGTCCTTCCCTCTGAGCTGATCTGGGCCCCTTAGTCAGGATCACACCTGGCTGCCTTGAATCTTTCTCTGCTCCTCCTGGGACCCCTGGGCCACTCTCCTGCTCAGATTAAGCACTCAGGGCTCCTGAGCTTTTCTCCTGACCCTGCCTGGGCCCATCTGGGCCCTGAAGACCCACTCCAGGCATCAACTTGGCTCTCTGGAGACCCTCCCACCTGTGGGTCTATCTCAGTAGCCTGGGACCCTCTCCTGATACTGACTGACTCACCTGGGCCTTCCAGGACTGTTCTGGTTACCTAGAGCTGCTCTGACAAGAAATATACCACAGATGGGATGGCTTTAACAAACAGGAGTTTATTCTTACAATTTGGAGGCTTTAAGTCCAAGTTCAAAGTGCCAGGCTCTAGGGGCTGGGTGAAAGCCCCTCAACCTTGGGGTCCAGCTCTGCCTCCTGCTCCCGGCCCACTGGAGCTAGATGCGTTTCTTTGCTCAGACAGCTGCTGGCTGCTGAGGCTGAGAAGCCCCAAGATTGACAAGTAAAAAGGCACAGTCCTGATGTTACCAAACCACATGGCAGGCCATTGACTTAAGTCCATTGTAAGTCCCAAGGCCACCAGAGCATGGCAGGCTGCTGAGGAATGACATGGCTACATGCAGGATCCAACTGTGTCATAGGCTAGAGACCATTCCCAAGCTCCTTATATGCAGGAAGCAGACCACATCCCAAAGGCAGCTACTCAGCTGCTTGTGGTAGATCCCACCATGGAGCTGATTGCCAGTCTCATCATGGGGAATAACTACCACCAGCTGCCCAGCCACTCAGCCAGGCCCAGCCAAGTTGACACACAAACATAACCACCACAGGACCCTGCCCTTGATCCCCATGGGACTCCTGTAATTCATTCCCCCCCCCTCCTAGGTTTGCCGGAGCCCTCACCTGACCTCTCTGGGCTCCCCCAAATCCTTTACCTGACCTACCTTGAGTTCCCTGGGACGCTTCACTGATTAGCCCCCCCCCCATGCCCTCTTCTGGGCCCCACTGGACCCTTGGGACCCTTCATCTGACCCTTTTGGGCCCACTAGGACCCTCTCCTGAGCCCACTTGGGAGCTTCCAGGCCCCTTTTCGAGCCCATTTGGCTCCTAGAATCCATGTCCTTTTCCCATCCACCTGTGCCACAGATCGCCGCCAGCTCCCACGTAATCCCCTAGGACTTCCTGCCTACCCCCAGCTGAGCCCCTCTCTCCCCCAGGCCCCGGTTCATCAGGCTGGTCATCACCACCACCGTGGTCAGCACCTTCCTGTCCTTCCTGCGGCCCACCATCAATGCCTACGCCCTCAACAGCATCGCCATCCACATCCTGTACATTGTGATCCAAGAGTACAAGAAGTGAGTGGGCATGGGCGCCGGGGCTCAAAGCCCACTCCCACCCCACACTTCCTCTGCACTCACTGAGTTCCGGTGGGCTTCTCAGGGTCTCCCCAGGAGGGGATCCTGTCATCACTTCCACTCTACAGACTGCCCAAGACCATCCCAGGAGGAGGGGCAGGGCCAGGATGTTACCCCAAAGGAGTCCTGGTGGCGCAATGGTTAAGCACTTGGCTGCACATGGAAAGGTTGGCAGTTTGAACCCACCCAGCTGCTCCGGTAAAGATTAACCAAAAAACCAAAAAACCAACAAACAAAAAAACCCCACCAAACCCACTGCCGTGGAGTCAGTTCTGACTCATAGTGACTCCTCCTTGGGTGTCTAGAGGGGTGGGTGTCACTACAGAAGTAGATTGCCCAGTCTTCCTTCCGAGGAGTGGCTGGTGGGTTTGAACCACCAGCCTTCTGGTTAGCAGTCAAATGCCTTCGGCACTATGCCACCAGAGCTCCTCCGGTAAAGATTATAGCCTAGGACACCCTGAGATGCAGTTCCACTCTGTCCTCTAAGGGTGCTGTGAGTCAAAAATCCACTCGACTGTAGTTTGGTTTGGGCTTTGCTTCCCTAAAGATTACAGCCTAGGAGAACCTATGGGGTGGTTCTACTCTCATAGGAGTTTGCTACGAATCAGAATCCTTGAGGTACCTAACAACAACTGCAGAGCCAGTTCTTTTTATTATAGAGAGCCCCAAAGATACGTATGAAAAACAAACAACCAAACTAGTTGCTGTGGAGTGACCCCATTTGTGTCAGAGTCGAACTATACTACAGAGGGTTTTCCATGGCTGATTTTGTGGAAGCAGATTTCCAGGCCTTTTTTTGAGGTGCCTCTGGGTGTACTCGAACCTCCAACCTCTCAGTTCTGCTGAGTGCTAAGTGTTTACAATGCCCAGTGACCCTGTTCAGCTATCTACCAGCTGTTTAACCTTGGAGTGAAGCGGGGGTGGGGGGGTGTGCATAACTTAATCGGGAGTGCCACGGTTTCCTCATCTGTAAATTGCAAATAGTATCACTGTGAGGACTGAGTGAATACCTGAAAAACATTTAGAAACATTTAGCATTGTGCCTGGTATTCTGGGTAAGTGCTCAGCAAGCATTACCTATGAGCACAGATTAGGCACCAACTGCCTACCCCTTTGGTCCACGATGCTTCCCTGCCCCTAGCCTGGGACCTCCTCTCATTGGTGGAGGAGTCTGCCATCAGCACCTTCAGGCTGTGCTCTCCAATCTCCTTGTCTGGTTGGTGTTTGCTCATGGTGACCCCATATGACAGAGCAGAAGTGCCCCATAGGGTTTACTAGGTCTTTATGGGAGGAACGCTGGTGGTGCAGTGGTTAAACACTCAGCTACTAACTGAAAGGTCAGTGGTTCAATCCCATCAGCTACTCCAGGGGAGAGAGAAGAGGTAGTAGGCTTCTGTAACTATTGATAGCCTTGGAAACCCTGTGGTGTAGTTCCACTCTGTCCTCTAGGGGCGCTGTGAATCGCAATTGACTCCACAGCAGTGGGTTTGGTTTGGGCTTGGCTTCTGTAAAGATTGACAGCCTTGGAAACCCTATGAGGCAGTTCCACTCTGTCCTAGAGGGTCATTGCTGTGGCTCACAATTGACACAATGGCAGTGGGTTTGGTTTGGTTAATTTTTGCGGGAGCAGATTGCCAGGTCTTTCTCCCACAGAACAGCTGGGTGGGTTAGAACTGCCAACTTTTCTGTTAGCAGTTGAGCACTTAACCATTACACCACCAAGGATCCTTCCCTTTCCTCTGTAGGACCAGCAACAAGGAGCTTCGGCGTATCATTGAGGTCTCCATAGTCCTGTGGGCCATTGCCCTGACCAGCTGGATCAGCGACCGATTGGTCTGTAGCTTCTGGCAGCAGATCAATTTCTCCTACCTACATAGCATCTGGTAAGTGACCACCCAGTGACCCGAGCAATTCCCAGAGCCAGGAACCTTAGATTCCAGAGCTAGGAGCAGGGGCCTGGGAGGCAGAGAGGGGGCCACAGGCACTAGGACTTAGGAGCTGGTTGCAGTTGTGGTCCTCTTGGATGCTAGGATCCCTGGGAAGTAGAGAAAGGAGCAGAGGAGAGCTGGGGGCAACTCATCAGGGACAAGGGCATCTCCTGCCCTCCCCACCGCCCCTCATGTCTTAGTCTCTAGGGAAATAGAACCAGTGAGACATATATATATATAT